CCTCGGGCCGCCGGAGAACCACGCTGCTGGCGTTCACCCACTGCACCAGCCAGCTCATCTGGCAGATGCAGTTGAAGGGGTTGCCAGCAGCCGTCACGGCCCGCAGCCTGGGGAAGAAGCTGGAGAAATCCCGAGGGATGGTGTTGATGTTGAGGTTGCTGATGTCCAGCTCCTGGAGGTTGTGAAGGTTGTGGAAGTCCTCTGCCGGCAGCTGGGAGATGCGGGCATTGCCAGCCAGGCTGAGCTTGGTGAGGCTCCCCAGCCGCCGCAGCACCACTGGGACACGCTCCAGCAGGTTGTCGGAAACATCCAGCTCGTGGAGGTTGTTCTGGGCCTGGAAGAGCTCCTCGTTTAAGTTCGTCAGGCCCAGCCCCGCAATCTTCAGGGACTCGATGTTGACAGCGTGGAAGGCCCCTGGTGCAATGGTAGGGATCTTGTTCCAGCTGATGTCCAGCAGCAGGAGGTTGGGCAGGTCGAGTGGGGGCACGGCCCAGAGCTGGTTGTTCTGCAGCTTCAGCTCCAGCAGGTTCTCCAGCGTATCAAAGGCGGCAGCGTGGATGTGCTGGATCCTGTTCCTCTGCAGGTAGAGTCGCTCCAGCAGCCGCAGCCCGTGGAAGGTCTCGTTGGTGATCTCCTGCAGCTGGTTGGAGGACAGGTCCAAGTTAACGAGCTCTGTCAGGGGCTGGAAAATGTTCTTCTGGATGCTGGTGATCTTGTTTTGAGAGAGGTCCAAGAGCTGGAGGGCGGGCAGACCCACAAAGCTGTCCTCGCTGAGCATCGTGATGCCGTTCTCAAAGACGTAGAGGGAGAGGGTGTTGGGGGGCAGCCCCCGGGGCACAGTGTGGCCCCGTCTGGCCGCACACAGGATGGTCTTGGGGTCTTGGCACTGGCAGCCTGCGGGACATGCCCCAGCCAGCTCCCTGGGGGCCAAGAGAAGCAGCGTGCAAAGGATCAGCTGGTTCATGGTGTCAGCTCTGCAGGAGAGAGAAACCCAGGCAAGGTTAGGGGGCCAGGCCCTGCTGGGGGGGGGAGAACTGGTAGGGCTGTGGGATGCCTCAGACTGCCGCCCTGCTACCCCTGCAGGGGTGTGAGAGCCATCTCCTTGAGCCCTGCCCAGGACCTTCTGGCCCCAAAGGGACCACGGTGGGAGTGGGGAAAAGCCCCCAAGGAGCTCCTACCTCCTCTGCGCTGCTGCGCCCGGGACAGAGCCAGCGAGAGCAAAGCCGCACATGGGCTGCCCACCCCAGCTCCGTGCTCTCCCCCTCCCCGGATCCCCAGGATTTAGGGACATGGTACCTTTGCACACCCCAGGCTCTACCATGAGATGTGTCCCACCGGCTTCGGCCTGGCCTCTTGGGACTTGGTACTCCCCTACCTCCCCGGCTGCTCTCGGCAGGGTGCAAATCAAACACGGGGGATGCGGAGCAGAGGCACCAGCCTGGGAGCCAGGGGAGGGGGTGGGAGCCTGGCCAGCCTTCCCCGCACACGGAGCTCGGCTTAACCCTTTGCTTGTGCCGTCGCCCCGGCAGCTGCACCCACGGGGTCTGCTCCTGCCTGGATTGCCAGCAATCCCCCTCAGGGATGGGGGCACCCAGGCCTGGCCCGGGCACAGGCTGTGGGGCCCAAGGAGCCGGGTGTTCCCCTGCCCTGTAGGTCCCTCCTGTGCCCTTCAGAGCCAGCTGTGTCCCTGCACAGCCCTGGGGCTCATACTCACCCCCAAGCCAGCTCCTATCCCCTGGGGGCCACGGGTGACCTTGCTGTTCCCCTCCCCGCTGGCACCCCGGGAACCCGGCACAGCACCCTAGGCTGTGTCCTCGTCCCTTGGGGACTGGGACAGCAGGGATGGAGGGGAGGATGCTCTTGGGGTGAGCAAGACTGTAACCACCCTGCTCCAGCCCCCCATGGGTGGCCAGCCAATGTCACAGCTGGCTGTGCCCCACGAGGCTGGCTCCTCTTTCAATCCCATCTCTCAGCCCTTTTAATGACCCTCCTAATTAGCACAGGCTGGGCCAGGGCCCTGCTGTCTCCTACCACCCCATCTCAGGGGCACATGGGGCTGGCAGAGGGGGGGTCCCCAGCTAGGGAAGAGGCAAACCCCACCATGCTGCTAGAGGTGAGGGTGCTGCTGGCACCCTGCCCTGGCGGTCACCACCTCCTCCCCTGCTCAGAGCTGCTCACAGCTCCAGGCAAACCCCGGCTCCGTGGCTCGGCGAGGGGCCTCCGCCGTGTGCGGGGGGCTACGGGGTCATGC